CTAAGACCTGCCAAGGAGGTCACTGAATCCCAGAGGAGGAAGGGAAGCCCAGAGATGAACCCACCTACCCCCGGTGTCCACAAGAAGCTTCCCTACAACACCCTGACAAGGACTTTGGCTTTGAATACCTCCAGTAACAGGGAGCTCACTTACCTAACACAGAAGCCCTTTTGGCTTTGGGACAGCTTTCATTTTTAGGGAAGTTTTTCCTGACATTGTAACTCTGTGCTTTGTACTCAATCCCATCCTCCCTGTTGCTCCAAATTCTGACCTCTGGGACAGATAACAAATCCCATCACTTTTCCATATGACAGCTCTTCAAAGACTTAGAAGACAGTTGAGCTCAGCCAGTTACTGCCTTGTCTTGGTTCCCAACCTTCCTCTATGAGGTCCTAGAATTAGGCATGTTGGAGTTGGGAGGGAGCTTAGAACAGGGGATGTCAGGGCTAGGAAGGTCCTTAGAACAGGGAAGGTCAGAGCTTCGGAGGGATGTTAGAATATAAAACGTCAGAGCTGAGAGAGGTTTTAGAACAGGGAATGTCAGATTGAGGAAGGAGCTTAGAACAGGGAATGACAGAGCTGGAGGAAGCTTAGAACAGGGGATATCAGAGCTGTGATGGAGCTTAGAACATGGAATGTCAGGGCTGGGAGTGTCTTTGGAACAGAGAAGGTCAGAGCTTTGGAGGGATGTTAGAACATAGAATGTCAGAGCTGGCAGAGGTCTTAGAACAGAGAATGTCAGAGCTGGGAAGGAGCTTGACCTAGGGAAGGTCAGAACTGGGAAAGATCTTAGAATAGAGAATGTCAGAGCTGGGAAGGAGCTTAGAACAGGGAATGTCAGAGCTGGGAAGGAGCTTAGAACAGGGAATGTCAGAGCTGGGAAGGAGCTTAGAACAGGGAATATCAGAGCCGGGAGGGAGCTTAGAATAGGGAATGTCAGAGCTGGTCAGGAGCTTACAACAGGGAATATCAGAGCTGGGAAGGAGCTTAGAACAGGGAATAGAGCTGGGAGGGGCCTGAGAACAGGAAATGTCAGATATGGGAAGGAGCTTACAACAGGGAATGGCACAGCTAGGAGGGATCTTACAATAGGGAATGTCACGTCTGACCTTCAGGGATGAGGGATCTTCTAGTCTGTCCAGGCCTGCTCTGTCCCCTCCTAACTTACCCATTCAGCTCCCATCCTAACAGGGCCCTGATCTCTAGCCTCCAAGATGGCAGCCTCCTAATCTGATCAGTTCATCTCTGTCGCCATGTTAATGGCTGAGTCCTGCCTCCCTGGCCAGATCTCCTCACTCACACCAGTTCCTCTGGCTCTTGTTCCCTTTTCTTTATTGCCACCTATTGAAAGCCTACCTCTCTCACTAGGCCGCCTCCTCCAGACAGCCTACCTTGATTTCCCACCCCCTTTCCTACCAGAAGTGACTTCTCCAGCTCCTTACAGCCTTCATTCTATTGTCCTTGGTAGTGCTCTTGCCTCTGCTGCTGGTCAAGCTCAGCCCACTGCCTGCCTTTGGTCCTTGCTTTGTCTCAAACCAGTCCCCTCACTTCTCTATTATTCCATCTGTAAAATGGGTGTCTGAGCCCCTCTATTAAGTTCAGTCCATTGGTGATAGGATCTCCTGCCCTGGGTTCAGTTATCATCTCACTCTAAGATAACTCATAAATCTACAAACCAAACCATTATCTCTTTCCTGAGCTCTGGGTCCATTTCTCCAGCTGTTTGCTGGCTATCAATACCTGCATAGCCTGTGGGCAGCTCAAACTGAACATCTGCAAAGCAGAACTCATTATTTCCTCCACTTAAACCCAAGTCCCTTCCCCCTCTCTCTATTTCTCCCAAAGGTGTCACCATCTTTCTAGTCACCCAGATTCATGGCATCCTCAACTACCCCACCCCATTATATTCAATCAGTGTAAAACATCTCCCCTCCTTTTCTCCACTCCCACGGCCATGCTCTTCATTCAGACCCTCAACCTCTGTCACCTGGGCTGCTGGGACAACCTCCTAATTAGTCTTCCTGCCTCCTTTTTCTCGCTTCCAGAGTGTTTTCTGGGCTATTTTCTACAGAAAAGACCCAGATTACTATGGGGCAGGAGCTTATTAACTGCTTGTAGAATTCTTGAATTACTCACCCCCAAGGGTTGCCTTGAGAAAGTGCTCTGTAAATGGATGATTGTGATGGTGATTACATTAAATTGAAAAGTTTTTGCACAAACAAAGCCAATGCAACCAAGATTAGAAGAGAAGTGGAAAGCTGTGAAATAATTTTTACAGCCAGTGTCTCTGATAAAGGCCTCATTTCTAAAATATAGAGAGAACAGAGTCAAATTTGTAAGAATACAAGTCATTCACCAATTGATAAATTATCAAAGGATATGAATAGCCAGTTTTCAGATGAAGAAATTAAAGCTATCTATAGTCATATGAAAAAACACTCTAAATCATTATTAAGTAGAGAAATGCAAATCAAACCAACTCTGAAGTACCACATCACACCTATCAGACTGGCCAAGATGACAAAACAGGAAAATGATAAATGTGGGAGAAGACATGGGAAAATTGGAACACTAATGCATTGTTGGTGGAGTTGTGAAATGATCCAACCATTCTGGAGAGCAATTTGAAACTATGCCCAAAGGGCTATAAAACTGTGCGTACCCTTTGACCCAGCAATAGCACTTCTAGGGCTGTATCCCAAAAAGATCATAAAAATGGGAAAAGGACCCACATGTACAAAATATTGATAGCAGCCCTTTCTGTGGTGGCAAAGAATTGGAAATTGAGAGGATGCCCATCAATTGGGGAATGGCTGAACAAGTTGTGGTATATGAATGCAATGGAATACTATTGTGCTATAAGAAATGATGAATAGCGTGACTTCAGAAAAACCTGAAAAGACGTATATGGTCTGATGCTGAGTGAAGTGAGCAGAACCAGGAGAACACTGGACACAGTAACAGCCACATTGTGTGATGACTGACTTTGATAGACTCTTCTCAGCAATGCAAGGATCAAGACAACTCCAAGAGACTCATGATGGAAAATGCTATCCACATCCAGAGAAAGAACTATGGAGTCTGAATGCAGATGGAAACATGCTAATTGCTCTCCTTTTTTTTTTTGTTGTTTTGTTTCTTCTTTCTTATGGTTTCTCCCATTGGTTCTAATTCTCCTTTATATCATGGCTAATTTGAAAATATGTTTAATATGAATGTATATGTAGAGCCTATATCAGATTTCATGCTGTCTTTGGGAGGAGGGGAAAGGGAGGGGAGAAAATTTAAAACTAAAAATCTTATGAAAATGAATGTTGAAAACTAAAAATAAATTAATTAATGTTTTAAAAAGATATTCACAAAAAAAAGAAAGTGCTCTGTAGATAATCCAAATAACACTAGAGAGATGTGTATGCCCTATCCTGCCTCTGCACAGGTGGTCCCCCACCCCTGGAATTCTCTCCCTCCTCACCTCTGCCTCTTAAGAGCCCGTAGATTCCTTATGAGCTCATGCACTACCTTCTTCACAAAGCCCTTCTCTGTCCTCCTCCCCCCAGCCCCCGCCAGCTGCAAGTGCCTCCCCACCTCACACCTGCAAATTACCTTGACTATACATGTGGTCTCCCTCAATAGAACATAAGCTTATTGTGATCAAGGATACTTTCTTTTTTTGGGTGGGAAGGCTAGGTAAAGACGTTAAGTGACTTGCCCAAGGTCACACAGCTAGTAAGTGTTATGTGTCTGAGGCTGGATTTGAACTTAGGTCCTCCTGAATCCAGGGCCAGTGCTGTATCCACTGAGCCACCTAGCTGCCCCTAGATACTTTCGTTTTTTACTTTGGATGAACCCCTTCACTTCTCTGTGACTCAGTTTCCTCATCTGTAAAAAGAGGGAGCTGGACTTAATGACTTCTCAGGTCCTTTCCAGCTCTAAATCTCTTGTCCTACAGGATCCCTTTCTAGTCCTCCCTGGGGTGGGGTCATTTCCCCTCTCCCCATGCCCCAATTTCCTCACCCATATGATGGAGATACAACCTCGAACACTACTGCCTCCAGGGCTGTGGTGAGAAAAGGGTCCTGGAAACATGAGTTCCCAAAACACTATTTCATAGCCTGTCATAAGGATCAAAAGGGGTGGGGGAGGAAAAGGAACAAGCTTTTATTAAATGCCCACTATATATCAGGCACAATGCAAAGCCCTTTCCAAACATGAAGGCGTTTAATTCATGCTAGAAACAGCAGGACCTCAGGACATAGAGCTCAGAAGGACCTCAGAGATTATCCAGGCAAAGCCCTTTGCTTTGAAGATGGACACACATCTGGGCATCGCATTATAGTGTCCAGAGTGGGGTGGTCAAGACAGTAAAGGACTTTGAGATCCCATTACTTAAGGATCCATCGCAAAAAAAAATGGGGATGATGAGCCAGGAGCAGGGGAGGCTCCTGAGATGTGCCTCAAGCATTTGGAAGGCTTCCATATGGAAGAGGGATTGGATTTGATCTGCTTGGCCCCAAGAGCCATGGGTAGATATTGCAAGGACAAATTTAGTTTCTAGGAAGGAAAAGTTCCTCCCCACTGGAGCTGTCCAAAAGAAGACGGGCTGCTTTAGAGGGACATGTAAGTTCCCCATCACTGAAGGTCTTTCAGCAGAGGCTGGTTTGTTATGCTTGCCCAGATAAGGGTTGGAAAAGATGATCTCCAAGGCTCCTTCCAATTCCTCAATTCTAAGAAACTGAGTCCCAGAGCCAGGAAGTGGCTTCCCTAAGATCTCCACAGTTAATAAGCAGACCCAGGAATCAAACCCAGGTCTTCTCTCTCTGTCTCCAGTGCCCCTTCCACAAACTCTGCTGCCTCTACATGGAAAGGGTTATTGTTATTACATCCTATTGACCCCTCCTGCCTCTGCCTTCTTCCTCCCCCCTTCCCCCAAATCCCAACAAACAAGCCCCCAGGAGGACGGTAGACATGCCTCTCATACTCTAGGTCTCTTTCTCTCCCTCCTTTTGGCCCGTGTGGCTCCAAGAGGATTGGATACTTTATTAAAAATAATTAAAAATCCCATTGTACAGATGTGTGTGTTGGAAGGGTAGAGAGGAGGGGCAGAAGCTGGGAGTGGGCAGCTGGGGGACCAGCAGAGGTGGGACTGGCACATGAAGGGAGTGGCGCTCCGGCCCTGTCCCTGGGGGCCTCCTGAGTCAGCACCCCCTCATTCTGAGATGGCCCAAGGACCACTGGCTCTAAGGGCCAGTCCATGAGGGAGAGGACAAGGGGCCCAGCTTCATCTCCCCATCCTGCCCCTGGAAATTGAAGAATCTGGATTAGATCTTTCTTGTCTTTATATATATGTATATATTTACAAAAGGATGTGTGACAGGTCACTAACATGCAAGGTAAACCTTTCCTTCTACTTCCCCCCTACCAGCCTTCTAGCCCTGGCCTCTGTGTGAGCCTCCTGCCCCTGTATCTGTCCCAGGAAACTTCCCAAAGTTCTTCAGGGCAACTGGGGGCATATCCTGGAAGGGCCTAGGGGTGCCATGTTGGGCAGTTCTGGGTCCCCAAGTGGAGTCAGGCCCACAGCAGCAGATGGCGTGGAATGGTTGACTCGGCAGAACTCAGGGATAGGGGCTTCCCTGTTGCCAGAGTCTAATTCTTGGGCACTGAAGTGAGAAGGCATCCTGCTCTTCTCGAGGCCCCAGGCGGCCACCAGAAGGGTTCCTATGGCCTGGGTGGGTTCTGTCCTTGGGAGGGAAGAGCGTTTGTCCCAGGGATACTGAGGAAGGGGATGATCACAGTCTGCTGGTCCTTCTCCTGTCTAGAAAGGGGGATCTTCCCACAAGAGGCTAGGGAATGGGGGTACATCAGGGCCCAAGGTGACAAAGGGGACACAGGGCTGGACGGGAGGGCAGGAGGTCAGATGGCTGACTCCCGGCGGTAGGAGATGTTGTCGAGGGGCAAGGTGGACTGCATCCTCTCCAAATCCAGGTGGCTCCCAAACTCCAGCATGCGAATGATGCCGCCATCTTCCTTGGAGCCGCCTTCCAGCCCCAAGCCAGCCACGTCCTCCTCTAGTTCGTCCTCCTCCTGGCTCATGAGTGCCAGCTCGTTCTCATAGCAGAAGGCACTGGGCGGTGGTGGAGGGGCAGGAAGGACCGTGATCTTGCTTTCCTGGAGCTCACGGGCCGAGCAACATGGTGTCCCGGCCACCTCGTAGGTCTTATGGAAACGTGAGTAGTCCACTTTGTAGTGACTCTTCTCCTCAAAGACCACGGGCTCAAAGCGGTGGCCCCAGAGGATCTCACTGGCCAGGTAGGAGCTGCGGGCCTGGGTGGTCATGGCTGTGGCCTCGACCATGCCCTCTAGGATGACCACAATCTCAAAGTCCTCCGACTCCAGCTCCTCTTTGCCCATACCATAGAGGGGGCTCTCCTCATCAATCTCATGGACGATGATGATGGGGGACACCAGGAAGATGCGGTCCAGCCCGATGTCGTAGCCCACATTGAGGTCCCGCTGGTCCAGGGGCAGGTACTCACCCTCCTCTGTCATGTACGGTTTGATGAGCTGGGCCCGGACGTGGGCCTCCACGATGTGGCTCTTCCGTAGGTTGCCCACCCTCCACATGAGGCAGAGCTTGCCATCCCTCACGGAGATGACAGCGTGGTGGCTGAAGAGCAGCGTCTGGGCCCGCTTCTTGGGCCGTGCCATCTTGGCCATGATGGTGCCGATCATGAAGGAGTCGATGACACAGCCCACGATGGACTGCACCACCACGGCCATGACGGCCAATGGGCACTCCTCTGTCACACAGCGAAAGCCATAGCCAATGGTGGTCTGTGTCTCTACTGAGAAAAGAAAGGCTCCCAGGAAGCCGTTCACATGCATGATGCAAGGCTTGACAGTCGCGGGAGGTGGGCTCCCGCCTCCCCCGGGGCCCGCTCCAGCAGGTCCGGGTGCTGGGGCTGGGCCGGGGTCCAGGTCGCCGTGGAAGAAGGCAATGCACCAGAAGAGGAGGCCGAAGAAAAGCCACGAGACCAGGAAGCGGCGGAGAAAATCATCAGCATGTACCGCCAGCGCGTGTCCACGCAGGTGGTGAAGATGTCGGCCATGTAACGCTGGGACTTGTTGCTGAGGTTGGCGAAGTAAACGTTGCACTGGCCATTCTTCTTGACGAATCGGTTGCGGCGCTTCCGCCGGGGGGCGTGGGCCTGCCCGTTCCGGCTGTGTCCGTTCATCCCGCCCCGGGCAGAGCTCCAGCAGCTGTCCTCACCACCCGGGATGGAGCCAGACCTGGAGAGGAGACACAGTGGCCAGACATTAGGGGAGCCGCTAAACGAGGGTTAGCCAAGGAAAGGAGGAGCCGCGATCATCTGCTGGGAGGTAGATGTCCGCCAGTGGAGTGAATAGAGTCAGCCTCAGATCCAGGAAGATGGTTTGTCTGTGTGACCTTGAGCAAGTTATATAACCTCTCAATGCTCTAGAAAACCCTACTACAACAACTAATATTTATACAGCACCGGCTAAGTGATTTCACAAATATCATGTCATTTGATCCTCACAACCTCCCTGGGAGGTCTGTATTATTAATCCCCATTTTACAGATGAGGAAACTGAGGCAAATGGGATTAAGTGACTTGCTCAGTGTCACACAGCTAGTAGGTGTCTGGCGCTGGATTTGAACTCAGGTCTTCCTGACTCCAGGCCCAAGGATGTATTCACTGCTCTGCCCAGCTGCCTCTATTCAGACTCTACATTGTAGGGTAGGTGATGGGGAATTGGTGAAGGGTGCTTCCTTGCTGGAAGTACTCTACGTGGATGAAAGCACAGGTTGGTTCCAAAAATAAGTCACTTCCTGAGGACGCTCAGTCAGACATGGGCTCCTGCAGGGTTGGGGGTCTATCTTGCTTTTGTATTTGCATCCCCAGTGGTCAGCAAGCCCGTGCCTGGCATGTCACAGTGGGCACTTAATAAACGTTTGCTGAGGGTCACCAAACAGAAAAATAATAAAATGATCGCGATGGTAATAAATCCCCTGCCTATGTGCAGTGCTGTGGTATTTGGAAAGAACTTGGATTGCATTATCTCACTGGATTAAAATAGCTCCTGTTTCTCTAGGGATTTGATGTTTCCAAATTGCTTTCTGAAGCAAAGCCCTGTGAGGTGTGTTAGCAGAACAACAGTTATCATCCCCATTTCACAGATGAGGAAATGGAGGTTCTGAGGGGGAAGTGATATGTAGGGTGAAAGGAAGCCCTGGACAGGGAGTTGGGGATCTCGGTTTGGAGCCCAGCTCAGCTCCTTCCTGTCTCTGTGGCCCAGGATAAGTAAGTCCCTTCTTCTCTCTAGGCCTGCATTTCCTGCCTCTCTAATGCTGGAAAGTTGGATAGGATGGTTCCTAAGGTCGAATCCAGTTCCAGCTTTCTCCCACACAGCTGGTAAATGTCATTGCCCACAACAGAGCCCAGATGTTTTTATTTGTTCCAAGTCCAATGTCCTTTCTCCACTACATTAAGGCTCGGGGCAGAAGGCAAGGCACTGGGGTAACGGGACCTCACAGAGACAGATTTCAGCTCAGTATGAAGATCTTCTCAACACCAAGAGCTCTTCCAAAGGGAAATGGGTGACTCAAGACACAGAGAGGTCTCTGCTAAATGTGGAGTCCAAGAAGAGGTTAAAGAAGCAATGGCTGGTTAGAGACGTCATGCAATGACATCGTGCTACTGGTGTGGGGGGAAGAGATGATGTCCCTCCGAAGTCCCTTCGGACTCCAAGACCCCCATGCCACAAATGAGCAAGCAAGCCCAGGAAGGAGAGGTGATGGTGGGTATAACAATGGTGATAACAGTGATGGTGACGGAGATGGTCATGGTCATGATGATAATGGCAAAGATGGTGACAGTGGTGATAGTGAGAGAGACAGGAGACATGGCGGCCATGGTGACAACAGCAAAGATGGTGAGGCTGGTCATAGGGACAATGGTGATGATGTTGCTAGTGGTAGTGACAACGATGACCACAAGGACAGTGGTAATAATGATGGTGACAAGAGGATGCTGACCGTGGTGATAATAACAGTGACGAGTGTAACCATGGCAGCGCTGATGACCGTGGGGACAATGGTAATGACAATGGCGATGGGAAGTAGCAGCTGAGGGGGTCCATGAAGGTCATGGAGAGGTGGCCTGGCCACAACCTGAGTGAAAGCTCAGTCAGCCCCTTCCCCCAAGGCTGCCTCAGCCATGACAAACACCTCCTTTGTCCCTCACTCCCCCATCCGTCTGGAGCACAGAAGGAGGCAGCCAAGGGACCTCTCCATCCCTGGCCCGCCTGGTGCCAGCCGAGTCTCCACCACCAGCAGGGCCAGGGTGGGCAGGGAGGGGGAGGCTGGGCAATGGCTCCCAGTAACATTTTGGCCCAGAATTATGGAAGGCAGGGAGTTGCTATTTTCTGTTCTATTCTTCTTGTTGATCTAATTGTGTGTCTGTAGCAGTGTTTATACACTTCCCCGGGTTCAGGACGACTCAGTTTCCACAGCAACAGTGCGGCTGCTGCCGGCGTCCAGGCTCAAGAGGCAGTGCTGTAATTTAGAGATCAACAGCTCAAGTGGTGGCAGCTTCCCTGGGAGAAACTCTCCCCAGCGTCTCCCCACCCAACCCCCCTTCCCTCGGCCCCTCCTGGCTCTGGGTGCTCCTGTCCTTGCTACCCACCCCTGGTGACAACAGCAGAGAAACATGACCATTACTCCTCTGTGCCAGTCTATGGCATCACCACCCGCTGCAGGGGCTATTAGCACTGGGGGATGGGAGTTGGGGTAGGGAAATAGCAGTAGGGATGGAAGGGTGTGGGCTCAGCCCTCAGAATTATTTGAGGAGTTGAGGAGGGTTGTTACTTGCAGGTTCCTGCTGTATGCTTCAGCAAAACAGGCAAATAGACCATTATTCCAAAGACACTAGGAAGGTTGCTCTGCCCCCTCCTGAAAAGCTTCCCCTCTCTACTGTCACTGTGCCTGAAATTCCACCATTAGAGCCACAGAATGGAAGAGCTGGAAAAGGACCCAGACACAGAGATCCACCAAAAGTGAGAAATGGAGGAGTCAGTAGAGGACCTCTAATTCCAATCTCTTATTTACAGAGATAGAAACTGAGGTCCACAGAGGGGAGGCGACAACCAAAGCCCCATAGGAAGCTGGCCAGCAGAGCCAGGACTGAAGGCCAGGTCTTCTGGCTCCTAGCCCTGGATTGTCTCTATAATACATCATACTAGGGATCAATTCACTTTGATTCTGAAGGTTTGGGGGTGGGAGGGATGGTTCCAAAGCCCTGTTAGAAAGCACTTGCTTCTGGGAAAGGGGAAAACCACCTGCTTGTATTAACTGGCACCTCAGCTGGGATTAGCTGGCAACCAGCCAAGGTTAGGAATGGGAGAAGGAGAACGAGTGGGAAGATGGGAGAAATCTCCCAATTTTGTTGCACTTCAGGGGCAGTGTGCTGCAGAGAATGACACTGCCCTGAGGGCTAAACGACCCCGCATCAAGGGCTGTTTGCATCCACTTCCCAGGAATTGTCCTGGGGACACAGCCTCAGCCCGGGAGAGGGAACGCTCCCAAGCAATCAGGTGCTCACTTTCCCTCTCTCCTCCAAATGTCCTTATGCTCCATCTCTACATGAGAAACTTGGGTTGGACGGTCTCTAAGATGGTCATTCCCAGCTCTGATAATCTATGTTTGCAGGTCAATTCAGTATGCATCAAATGCTTGCTGTTTCCCAGGCTCTGTAGTAGTGATGATGATGATGGTGATGATGGTGGTGATGGTGATGATGGTGATGATGGTGATGGTGATGACGGTGATGGTGATGATGGTGATGATGGTGGTGATGGTGATGATGGTGGTGATGGTGATGATGGTGATGACGGTGATGGTGATGACGGTGATGGTGATGATGGTGATGATGGTGATGGTGATGACGGTGATGGTGATGATGGTGATGGTGATGATGGTGATGATGATGGTGATGATGGTGATAGTGATGGTGGTGGTGATGGTGGTGATGATAGTGATGATGGTGGTGATGGTGGTGATGATGATGATGATGATGGTGATAGTGATGGTGGTGGTGATGGTGGTGATGATAGTGATGATGGTGGTGATGGTGGTGATGATGATGATGATGATGGTGATATGATGGTGGTGGTGATGGTGGTGATGATAGTGATGATGGTGGTGATGGTGGTGATGATGATGATGATGATGGTGATAGTGATGGTGTGGTGATGGTGGTGATGATAGTGATGATGGTGGTGATGGTGGTGATGATAGTGATGATGGTGGTGATGGTGATGATGGTGGTGATGGTGATGATGGTGATGACGGTGATGGTGATGACGGTGATGGTGATGATGGTGATGATGGTGATGGTGATGACGGTGATGGTGATGATGGTGATGATGATGATGATGATGATGGTGATAGTGATGGTGGTGGTGATGGTTGTGATGATAGTGATGATGGTGGTGATGGTGGTGATGGTGGTGATGATGATGGTGGTGATGGTGGTGATGGTTGTGGTGATGGTGGTGATGATAGTGATGATGGTGGTGATGGTGATGGTGATATAGTACTTATATGACACTTTAAGTTTTATAAAGCACTTTACAAATATTAACTTCATTTGATCCTCACAACAACCCTGAGAAGTGCTATAATTATCCCCATTCTACAAATGAGGAAACTGAGGCTGAGAGAAGTTACATGAGTAGCTCAAAGTCACACAACTAGTAAGTGTCTGGAGTGGGATTTGAACTCAGCAGGGCCAGGAATAGAAATAGATCGTCCATTAACAGGCATTTATTAAGCCTCATAGCGTGTGAGGTGCTGGGGTTACAGAGACAAAACACACACACAGAACAGTCTGTGCCTTCAAACATTTCACATTCTCTCAGGGAGAAACATATAGACATTGAAATACAAAATAATTTCTAGGAGCAGGGCTAGGTAGCGACTAGGTAGATCAGAATGGACTTCCTGAAGGAGGTGGCCGGAAGCTGATCTTGGAAGGAAATGAAGGCATTCTTCGGGGAAGGAAGGGTAGGGAAAGTGCTTCCAGACCTGGGGAAGAGCCTCTACGAAGGCGTGGAGAGAAAAGATGGCAAGGACCCCATGTGGGGCAGCAAGTAGGCCCATTTGGGTCAAATGAAAATCCCAAGAAAGGAGTAACTTAGGATAAACTTGCCAAGGTAGCACCAAAGCCAGATTGCAGAGGGCTTAAAAGCCAGCCAGAAGAACAGACAAC